AAGTAAGACTTTCTATATCGGTTATAAGTGTTAACCGACATAAAAAGTATATGACCGATCAGAACCAGTATGACCGATCGGAATAACTCATACAAAATAAGACTTTCTACGTCGGTTCCTCGACTAACCGAGCGTAGAAAATATTTATGTGACCGATCGGAACCAGCTTATGATCGATCAAGATAGCTCTATGACCGATCATAACCAGCTTGACCGATCATAATAGCTCAAAGAAAGTAAGGCTTTCTATGACCCCGTATCTATGTCGCCGCTTTAACCGACGTCGAAAGCCCATTTTAACCGATGTAAAAAGTCTTTTCTGCAATAGTGATTTGAAGTTTAAACTAAATTATCCGATAACAACAAATATTATTAATATTTTAAAAATATAATTTTTTTTATCAAATTTCAGTTTGTTTATATTTTTTTAAAAATATTTTATTATTCGACAAAATACATATTAATAATCATTCAACAACTCTAATAACAAATTGTTTTATTTAATAAATAGACAAGGTTTAAACTATTACAAGTTAAACAAAATATAAAGTTTTATTTAAAAAGGATTTTGATTTAACAAGACATCTCTATATATATAATGTTGTAATTTATTAAAATCATATATTTATTTAATTATTAATTTTTTTCGTTACATAGAAAAGTTAAACTTACAATATTGTTAGAAGACAGATTTATATAACATATGGTATATTAAAAAAAAACAGAAATATTTATAGGAAATAAAAATTAAAAGAAAACAAAATAAATAAAATTTATTTATAATGTAAAATAGCTTAAAAATATGAATTTAGAAAAACTCAACGAGAAAGATTCTACGTACAAGTTAGAGAACAAAACAATTATAAGTAAAATATATATTTTATATCAATTCATCTATCATAAAAATTATATTTAATTTTTAATAAAATATGTTAAGTTTTATTAACAAACTATATTTAGTTTTTAATAAAATATGTTAAGTTTCATTAAACACTATTACACGTAAAGTATTCTTTAAGATCGTTTTTAATTTACAACACTTTTTTTTTTACTAACATTTATAAGTTCTCGAAATTTTAAATACTAAACTTTAGATAAAATATAGTATTTACAATCCTAAGTTTTATTCTAATCTTATCCTTAAATTTGTGTAAAGACGATTACAAATATTTTATTTAATAAAGTTAAATAACTCTAATAATATATAATAATTACATATAATTGACTTTGATTAAGAGGTAAAAAATAAAAGAGGAAAGATTTTCACAGTAAAATTGTTTTTCAAGTGTTCGATCACATTTATATATATTAACAAATTATGTTTTTAATAATAAGTTTTTAATTTCATGATATGTAACATATATAAGATAGATGCATAATTTATTAAACAAAAAGAAAATCTAAACAAATCATATAACTCTACAATATTTATAAAAAGGATGTTAAATGTAAATATGATTTTGCTTAAAATAATTAAATTAAATATCATAATTTTATTTTGTTAATAATTTGTTTATTTTATATTTATAATAATGATTTAATATGAATATGACTTCAAAATTTGAAATTTTTTAATTTATCATCTAATATCTTTTTCAATTAGTTTGGATTAACACCTAAACATTGATTAATTTATTAAATTATTATTTTAAAAAATTTAGTTAAATCAAAATAAAAAAAATATTATCATCTTAATTTTTAAAATTTGTTGGTACTTTAAATACGCATAATAATACTTTTATTTTATATATTCATAATTTATTATCTTAATTAGTTATGTCTTAATTAAATATGGAGAAACTAAATATATCACTAACAAAAATATAACAATTTTATATAATAAGTTTGAGAGAAATATTTTATAATTTGTTCTTGGACGTTGTTTTAAATATTTTCAAATCTCTTACCAATTCTCATAATTTATTATTAAAAAATCAATTCATTATTTTTTTACAATTTTCCAGAAATTAAAATATTAAATAATTTAAATAAAATACAATTAATTCATTAATATAATAGGTTAATGATAACTTTGTTTAATATATTTTGTATAATATATCAAACACAGTTTAAATTATATTTTGTATATTTTAACGAAAATATTTTGAATTTTGTATGTAATATATTATTATACAGAAAATGATATTGATTTATATGATACTTAATTTTTTTTATGTGAGACTTAAATTCATATTTTAATTTTTTATTTTTAATATAAAGATGATGTCTCATCTATTTGTGTAAAAGGTAAACTAGAAATCTTATATCATCCTCTCGTATTGAAACCCTTTAAAATAGTAAAACTTATTCTTTTGTACACCTATGAATTTAGTGAATTGAGTCATATAATTTATTTTATTTAACAATTAAAACATAAATATTATATTACATTTTAGTTTAGATATACATAATATATTACTAAGGTTTATACCTCTTTAAAAGAATATACTTCATTTTTTAGTTATTCCAAACTATTGTTTATTTGATATTCCCATACTTATCTTTGTATGATTGTCAACTCTCAAATAAGTTTCAAAATTCTTTCATATAATTGAAAGAAACTTTTGTATCACTACTTCATGTTTCCTTAGAGTTTGCTATGACTTTATCATATAATAATTTTGAGAGAAATTTTTATAATATATTTCTTATATGCTAAATTGTAAAAAGGGGTAAGATATTTAACTCAATCCTACAAAATCAACTTAATATTAAGAATTGTATTCACCTATAATTTCTCAACACATATTTTATATTAAGGAGGATTTTTTATCACACTCTCTCATATTAATGAGAAATTTTTTAATACACCCCCTCCTATAGAAAAAACGATTTTTTTCATCAAATAGTATGAAAGATGGTTGGTTCGATAATTAGTAATTTTTTAATAATTATTAATGAATAATGTCTAAAATCGTTAACTGACTATCTTAAAAATGATAAAATACATAATTCAATTATATAATATCAGTTCAGTACGATAAAAATTGTATTAACCTGTGTATTATAATATTATTGTAGCTTTAATTGATATAAAATTTTTCAAAATTTATTTTTACTTAAAAAATTGTAAATTTTAACTATTAGCGAGGAGATTTTATTTATTAAATATATTATTAAAATAAAAATTATTATTAATAACATAATTACTCGTGTCTTAATTAAGGAAACATGAACAACTTTTATCAAATATTTTTTTTCTTATAATGATATTTAAAAAAAAGAAAATAAAAATAAATATTAAATCTATTTGTCTTAAATATAAATATATATATATATATATATATATATATATATAATATTATCTTAGATCATTATGAAATTACAATTCTCAAATTTTTTTACCAATATTCTTAATTTATTAAAATAAAAATTAATCTAAAAATCTTCTACAAATTCTCCTAATTTATTAAAAAAATTCAAATTTTAAATATTTTAAATAATAAAAATTAATATCAGTTAATTCACATAAATCGCAGTATGTATAATCTATTAACAACAATTTAAACTTTTTCAGTAATATCCGCAATATTGTATAAATATATTTTATATATTCACTAAATAAATTAAATGTCTTAGTAATTTAAAGTTGTTAAATAAAAAGAATTGCGCGCTTTTATTTCATCTTTAATATTTTTATAACTTTTTATCATTTATTATTTCTCTTACAGTTTTTCCACATTTTACTATTTTATTATTAAAATTATATATATAAATTAATCTTACTTTCAAAATTTCATATATTTTCCCTTTAATTACGTATCAATACTTAACTATCACATAAATAATTTAAGTTAGATTTAGTTAAATATGTAAAAAATAAAAAAGTTATGATGATAAAATGTCATAAATAATTTTGAATAAAAAATTAGTGAAATATGATAAATAAATTAAAACATCCATAATTAAACTAATGTAAGAACTAAAACCATTGTTAGTTTAAGTATTGATTATCATAACACATTTACCCCAAACCACCGGGATCTTGTAAGAGTAAAGCTGAGAGAGTTCCAGCGTTTTCCCAATTAGTTTTATATTAAAATGAGATTTGAATTAAACATAAAATATAAAATATTGATTTTATTTTGATTTTTTTAAATTTAAATTAAATCAAATCAATATTTGACGATTTATTTATATAATTTTTATTATTATAAAATTATTAAATATATTATAATAAAACAATTATTAAAAATTTTATTATTAAATATATAATTAATTATAATTTTTTTATATATTTTATATTTATTTTAAATAATAAAACATGTTTTAAATTATAAAAAATAATAAAAATAATTATTTATTCATAAATATTATTTTATATTTTAATTTAATATTATATATTATAATTTTGATTCTGTTTAATTTAAATTAATTTTTATTATCAAAACGAAAATTAAATTAAATCAATCAATTTTAAAAATTTCAATTATAAGGATCATTTTTCAATTTTTTTATCAAATTTAATTTTAAATTAGTTTAATATTAAATACTTATCTGGAGTAATACATTAAACGATAAATGTTAATAAAATAAAATAAAAATTTAAATAAGTTGGGAAATAGAATTAAATATTTAAATATTTGATTGAATAGAATAGGTGAAAAATAAAGAGGAAGTTGAAAAACGTTAATTAGTAAAATGAATTTCAAAATTTATTTTTTCTATCCGCTTTCTTTATCCAGTTCGCAAACTCAGTTCTCTTTTCATCTGCTTAAATCCCTACGTTCTAAATACTTTCATATCCACGAAATTAATTATTAATAAATAAACAAAAGTTAAAATACTTTTTATGGCTCATCTTCAATAATGCCACGTGTTCCTTTCGTCTCCACCCCTTTCCCTCCTTTCAATTTGTTCCACTCCACTCCTCCTTTGTCTTCTTCTACTTCCGTTTTCCACTGTCACGTTGGCTCTGCACTCTCCACGCCATGAAAATCACGCTCAAACTGTGATCGTTAACAATTCTTTCTCTCTCTGTATCTGCAAACTTCCAATTCATGGCTACCTCTTCTCCTCTCCATTTACCCGAACTTCATTTTCTCTCTCCACAAATCACCACCAAACGCCTTATTTCCCTCTCCAAACTCCCCTCCTCAGCTTATTCCGCTTCCCGCCACGCTACTTCCTACGTCTCTCTCCGCGCCGCGCGAATCAGCGCAAGCAGAGAAGAATCAGCGTTGGCGGAGCGACTGGACGACGTCGAATGGAGCGGAAACGGCGTCGCTGCCGCTAATGGAAGGGGCCGAGTCGGTGCCGATGGCAATGGCTCCGTCGAGGGATACGATAACAGCGCCACTAACGGGAGTTTGGTGACGTACGGTTACGAAAACGGAAACGGCGTTGCTGCGGAGGTGGTGGTGGAGGTTGAAGCGTCCAAGCTAAGTGAGGATGGCAGGAAGAAAAGGTTGGAGGAGATTGGGCAAGAAGACGCGTGGTTTAAACAAAGCGGGAACGAACAAGTCGAGGTTCGTCGTTTTGATTGCGTTTGAGTAGGTTCTACTGGTTGAAATGAAATGAAATGAAGTATGGACGTTTGGTTTTTCGCAGGTGGCAGTTGCGCCTGGGGGTCGTTGGAGCAGGTTCAAGACTTACTCTACAATACAAAGAACCTTGGAGATTTGGGGATTTGTTGCGACGTTCATCTTTAAGGCTTGGCTGAACAGCCGAAAGTTCTCTTACAAAGGTTCGTCCACTGAAGTGCTCAGCATTTATTTCGATTCACTGCAATTTGTTTTTATCATCATCAATATGCTGGTCATGCCTTGTTGTAATTTTTGTGTAACTTGATTCTAAACAAATTTCCTCATACGATAGGTGTATGAAGTGCTCACGAAACTGCTGGGTCATGCCTAGGACTTAGGTTCCTTATTAGACAGATACCATCAACCAAGACTCCTTACAAGCTGAATTTTTAATATTATCTTAATTAAGTGGTGATTGCAATCGTAAACCAAATCTGTTGGGACGTTAACTTGTTATGTTGTACTTGGAACATTTATAGTCATGTGGAAACTAATTCAATCACTTGAGTACAAAATATGCGAGGTCTGAGTGATTTCCTATGTTATTTTTCACCATTAAGACCTTAGTTTTTTTTTTTTTAAATGTTGGTGTGGTACTGTATGCCTTTGAAACTTCTTTGTACCTTCCTATGCAGAATTATGATATCGAAGTATAGAAATTGGAGTGCATGTTATGGTAGGTTGCTTGTGTTAGCAGTGTTGATTATTACTACGTTTTCAACTCTTGACTTCCAATTGTTGGCCTAAGCTTCAACATTAATCGCACTAGTGCTATGAATTTACTTTACCAGTTTTAGAAGCACGCATATCTCTAGTTAATGGTATCTTAATACACCCCATGACATCTTGGACCAGACATATAGACTGCTAACAAATGCAAGCGACCCAGTAAAAAAAACCACTTTACATCTAAGAATAGACATCTATGTAGAGTGTAGAAATATAGGGGACCCACTAACAAATTGTAGATAGACTCTTATATCATCTAATCATTTGGACTTAGGGTCTAGTTCAACCACATATAAATTTCTCATTAGGTGAGGATTGTCAAGCTTTATAAGAACTACATTAATCATATCTCTAGAAGATACAATACTCCCCCCTAATATACACACTATGAAGTTGTTTCAAAGAGGCTGTAATTAACACAGACTACAGGTGAACACAACCAAGGAGACTTTCCAAAACATCCCTTTTTGCCCAGGGCTTGAGCGTAGTAATGTGATTGGCCAAATAATGAATCTAAGTTATATCTTTGAATTTGGATACTGGGCCTAATTCAGCTCTAATAAACTAGTTTATAAGATGAGGATTGCCTAAGCCTTATACGTAATTCATGCCATATCTCTCTCTAGTCAGTATGAGAACTCAATCCACTCCCTTACACCCAAGATTGGACATCTAGATCGTCCTGACAAGTGTAGGTGATCTATAACATGTCCTCAAGTCCATTATTGGACGCATAGAGCATAGAAAAATATGATTAACCAATAATTGATTTATCGGCTTTGATATCATATTAGAATTTGAGTTTAAGGCCTAACTCAATCTTACAAAACCAACTTATTAGCTAAGTGTTACCCAAGCTTTGCAAAGACTACAATGACCATATGTCTTAATTGGTGTGGGACTGAACATCCCTCCTCACACCCAACACAATGAAAGTGCTTCAATGAGGCTGCAATTAAGCTGAACTAAGGGTGATTGCCATTAAGAAACTTTTTAACACACCCTCACCCATTGGGCTATGCGCCTAAATCATGGTAATATAGTTGGCCTAGTGGATCAAGGATAAACTCTAATATAACTTAAAATTTGTTTTTAAGGCCTAACTTAACTCCCAAAATCGGCTTGTAAGGTGATAATTGTCTAAATCTTTTCTTATTAGTTTTTACAATGTTATTTCATGGTAATTACGATCAACATCTGATTTATAGCCTACTCCTAACTACATTAATCTATTAAGTGTTTCTATGTTGAATTTGTTGGATATCAGTTTCTGTTTTTATTTGTCTAAAGGTATTATCTGCAGGAGGAATGACTGAGGAAAAAAAAACCTTAAGGCAGAAGGCCCTTGCCAAATGGCTGAAGGAAAGCATCCTGAGATTAGGTCCTACATTCATCAAAATTGGCCAGCAGTTTTCCACAAGGGTTGACATTCTTCCTCAAGAATTTGTTGACCAGTTGTCTGAACTTCAGGTAAGTTAGAGTGTTGAACATATTTTATAAGTTTATTTCCCTGCATTGAGATCTTTGAATTAGTTTTTGTTACCGGTCATATATCTCGTTAAAAAGAAAAAGATGAAAGACTAATACTTTCTTTGGATGTGATGATGGAAAGAAAGTGAGGGAAAGGAAAAGGAAAGAAAAGAAGAAAAAGAAAATGAGTGGAAATGAAGGTGGTTTGGTAGAGAAGAAATGTAGAGAAGTGAGAAGAAAGTATTTTTATTAAACTATTATTTAATTGATTTGTTATTTTTAAAAAGAAATTTAAAAATAACAAATAAGACATGAAAAAAATAAACCTTGATTTGCACAACGTAGGTTGTGTTAAAGAAAGACAACATAATCAATTATATGCACAATAATCAATTATGTTATGCTATTTTTACTCTTTCCATGTTTTTCCGCTCATCCTTGTGTGGATAGTTGAGTGTGGTATATGTCCTCAATGTTCCAATTTTCATTGCAAATCTGCTGAACCAAATTAAGGAGGGAACAATGCTTTCTTTGCACATCAGTGCCCCTCCTCCCTCTCCTTTTAAGCCAAACAAACTGTAAAAGTCCGACACATAGATTTGTTTTTTAATGTACGGGATATGACTTTCTAATTCCCTTCGAGCATACATTTTCTTATTGTACTATGGTCTCTTTTTATGTCTCAATAAGTATAATATTTACAATAAAGTTGGGGTGTAATTAACATGACCTCTTGTGAGGTTAACAATAATTGCACTTACACCTTTTCTGATTGAAAAATTATACCGCCCTTGCTTTTGTTATTTTTAAAGATACTATGATATAATTTATTCATAAAATAGGGTAAATATGTGTGTGTACTTAAAAACAAAAAAAATAGGTAAGCAAGACTTTTATATAAAATAAGGGAATAGGTTGATGTAAATTTTCAATCAAGAAAGATATTATTGGACACAAAAAGGGAAAAATATCCCTAGTTTTTTTTTTTTTAAATGTGCATCAACAAGCAAAACTTTGGTATATAATAAGGGAGGTTATGCCATTTTTGAATCAAGAGGGATGTAAATGTAATTAGTGGTTGGCAGTGAACTTAAGAAAGTTTGTTAAGGTTGCAACATAAAAAAGTTGGCAATATGGGGAGTAGTCATGCCCCCTCCAATGAAATCTCCAGGACCAAGCAAAGGGGACTTTTGACCCATAATTAAAGGGCAACTCTTGGCCTAAGACAAGAATCAGAAAGAAGTTAGGTTTTGACTCTGATACTATGTTAAAATTTCAACATAAAACCAATTGACAATATGGAGAGTAGCCTAATAGGTATTTAAACTATACCACATGACATGAGACAGACGATATGAGACTTCTAACAAAGTTCGATGTTTTAATTTTGTTATTCTTATAATGATCTTTCAATTTGTTCTAGCTTAATCTTGGATTAAAGTTACATCTACTCTTTATTATGCAAAAATACGTTTTCATTTCTTACCTCAATTTCTTATCACATGACATGAGACAGTCGACATGAGACTTCCAACAAAGTTCAATGTTTTAATTTTGTTAATCTTGTAACGATCTTTCAATTTATTCAAGCCTAATCCTGGATTGAAGTTACATCTACTATTTATCATGCAAAAATACATATCCATTTCTTAGCTCAAATTGTGCCTACTCAACCTATGTTACGCGGAATGGCAAATGACCTAGATGCATTTTTATGTAATTTATTATATGAGAAACAAATTTTCTTGTCATAAGATTGAGTAATTTGTTAAATTGTTTGTAATTCTTGTATTCTTGAGGTTTGAGACTTCCATCTCGCTCATATACTTTGGCAGCAAGTAATAAAAAAAGTGTTGAAAATGTTTTCTTTGAATTCTGGAGCTGATGACAAGATGATCTTGACATAAAACTACATGTAAAAAAATCATAAAATTAAAAGAGAAAAAAAATAGTGAAGGTTGCATTTCGTTGGTGCCTTAGTCACTTCTTATTTTCGGTTCAGGATCAAGTTCCTCCATTCCCTTCAGAGACCTCTGTAGCTATTGTGGAAGAAGAGCTTGGATCTCCTTTAGGTGACATCTTTGATCAGTTTGACTATGAACCAATAGCTGCTGCAAGTCTTGGTAACCAATGTTTTACTTTGACCATCCTTATATTCCATTTATCATATTTGATGAGACAATGGGAATAGTGAACTCTATTTTTACTAATACAGGTCAGGTTCATCGTGCAAGATTAAAGGGACAGGAGGTTGTTGTTAAAGTGCAAAGGCCTGGTCTCAAGGGTCTTTTTGATATTGATCTTAAAAACCTGAGGGTCAGTGTCATATCTTAAGGCTTTCCTGTCATGCTTATGGTGCCATGAGCAAATCTGATTTAACTGTCTGATAATTCTGTATTTTATCTCAAATTTATCTTCTAATTTTGTTTAACATTCCAAACCTAACAAGTCTTAAAAATTTGTACAATATTAATTTGTTCCTTTTCCTTGCATAGTGGCTTTCTTGTTTGCATGGATATGAGGCACCTATATATTTTATTTGTATTCTTTGAGGAAAATTGCGTTTACCTCCCTAAGGTTATGCTTGTTACTGCATCCTCCTAGTTTTAAAATAAACATTCATGTCCCTTATGTTTTTAATAAATTAACATTTACATCTGCTCTAGTTTTTAAATAGACATTCACCTCCCTTATGGTTTTAGTAAATGACATTCACCTCCCTTATATTTTTAATAAAGTGCCACTCACTTCCTTTATTTTATTTAAAAATATCATATTATAAAATTTAAAAAAAATGAAAATAAAAAAGTAGTGTTCTAAAATATAAAAATTAAAGATTTTTTCACAAACAAAAAATTATCTTTTATAAATAAAATAAGGGAGGTGAGGGTCACTTTTTGAAAAACATAAAAGTGGTGAGTGTCATTTATTGAAAACATGAGGAAGGTGGAGATGTCTATTTAAAAATCATTGTGTGAGGGTCATTTTACCCAAAGCATAAGAGAGGTAAATGTCTATTTTAAAACTAGGTGGGACATGAGTGCCATTTAGTATAATTTCACCGGAGGTAAGTGCGATTTCCCCTATTCTTTATGAAAGTTTCTCGTTGCAAGACTTCCATCCTCTGATTATTTTTACCACTGCGTAGAACACTGACACCAATTACTTTTCTATAACCCCAGGTTATTGCTGAATATCTTCAAAAGCTTGATCCAAAATCAGATGGTGCAAAGCGGGATTGGGTTGCTATTTATGACGAGTGTGCCTCTGTGTTATATCAGGTGATGATTTCTGGAATTGCTTCATTCTTATGTTACTTCAGTTTACTATTCCAAAGTGAGGTCCAATAATAAGATTGTAGGTAAAACAATTCTTGTTGAGAGTCCGAGAGTGGGCCAAGGCTTTTAAGTTGCTATGTTCTGTGGAATTGCATGCAAACCAAATAAGTTCCTCTGGTTCATGAGAGATTTTCATAACAGAGATCCTAGATTTCTACAGTGTGTAGGTTCTCAAACAAAAAAGATAGAACTATATTTGAGTTGCTTAGAGAGAAGGAATTCGGTGACTTGCAATGGTACTTTGTTATGACCTGCAGCTGTAGTCCTTCAAAAAAGAGGCATACTTGTTGGGTGTCCCAGATTTCATATTTCATTAGATATTTTACAAATTGCAAATAGTAATTTTAATTTGCTAGTTTTACTGTGTTACATTCTAGTAGTGGATTTATGAAGAGTTTCTTATGTCAATGAGGTTAAGATTGGGAAGACAGAAAGAAGTTTTACAGAAGTTAATGCTTGAGTTGTCGTATATAAAAGTGATCATTCCAGTCGCTTGAGTTTTGGATCTGTTCTTGTTTTGGAATGATGTTTGCATGTGTTCTCAGCTAATAACATTCTCTGACCCTGTTATTGCAACATGAATTAATAATTTTCAGGAGATTGATTACACCAAGGAGGCTGCTAATGCAGAATTGTTTGCAAGTAACTTTAAGAACATGGATTATGTGAAAGTTCCTACAATATACTGGGATTATACAACACCACAGGTTTAACCTTCCTTACTCCTTTTATGCCAAATGTAGTAATACACATTTCCCATTTTATGTCTGATAACTTAGTTATCTATAATCTATGTTGCCAATGCAGATTCTGACGATGGAGTATGTTCCAGGCATTAAAATCAACAAAATACAAGCTTTAGATCAATTGGGTGTTGACCGCAAAAGTTTAGTAGAGTCTTAATTATTTGCTGGCAAAATCAATATGAACATGTCAGATTGTTACCTTTTACTTCTTTGCATCGTTGTTGAGGATGGCATCTAACTTGATTCAAATTATTATTTGTTATATTCTGCAGGTTAGGAAGATATGCTGTTGAGTCATACTTGGAACAAATTTTATCACACGGTTTCTTCCATGCTGATCCTGTGAGTTTGCATTTAGAATTGATATTGGAAATCTCTATATATTATGCTATATATGGATTTACTATCTGGTAAATTGTATAGTAAAGCCAAATTGTTGATTGTCTTTGAACTTGCTTTTATGCTGCAACATTAGATCTATTGCCTGAGCTATGAGATGGATGCTACCATAGTTAATATTTACTATTAATATTCTTAGCTATGAGATAGACCCACACACAAGTATTGTACTCCTTTCAGATGATTGTATGTAACCAATAGATGTATACATTGTTCCCGCAGCATCCTGGGAATATTGCAGTTGATGATGTCAATGGTGGAAGATTGATCTTCTATGATTTTGGAATGATGGGGAGGTATGTTCTTTGTCTTCTGTGGCTTTTTCATTTATGATTTCACCAGCAGGACATACTTTAAGCTTTGTGAGATGGTTTGTGTTAGATATTTTAGATATCATTAATCAAAATATATGTATTTTCTATATTTACTTGTATGACTCTTAATTATAAATATATTATCCTATATGTATTTTAGACACAAGAGAAATTAACCCTATACCTAGTTTTTCACTATATTCAACAGTTTGCCTTTACAAATATTTCTGGTATTGTGCCTTTCAGTATCAGTCCAAACATTCGAGAAGGTTTGCTTGAAACATTTTATGGGGTTTATGAGAAAGATCCAGACAAGGTAGATGCTTTTCATGAATAGTGTCGAATGATAAAATGAATACTGTACCATATTATCACATTCATGACTCAAATACTAGCTAAATGAAGCTTGTGTTCTGTATTAGGTTCTACAAGCTATGATTCAAATGGGAGTTCTTGTCCCTACTGGAGATATGACTGCTGTTAGAAGAACGGCACAATTCTTCCTTAACAGGTATTTTAAAATCAATTTAGGACGAATATATCATTAATGGAAACACCTGCAATACTTAAACAGTAATATTTCCTCAAGTTAATATTATTATATGGAAAAGTATAAGGGCTGTACTGTAGCTTTTTAATTGTTGATTGTAATACACATTACAATTCAAAAACCAGTTAAAAGTGTCCTAAATTAGAGAATCTAAGTTAAAACATTTCATCTTGAAAAAGACAGGTTTTGAAGATTCAATATATTTCTTTAAATAGTTCTTTGGGTTGTTTCATTTATGACAGTCATGTCAGAGGCTGACATGCATTGCCTGTTGAATGGGGTTTGTGCAGAAACACATGTCTGTCCTGATTTATTATGATGTTATAAATAAACCACTATCTACATGAACTTTTTTACTGCATACTTCTGATCAGTTTTGGATTTATTAGGTTATTTTTTTGTTGCTCTCTGATATTCTTATTAGGACAGATAGGAAGGAGAAGTTTGTAAGGAACAGTCATAGTAATTAGTTGGGGACAAATTGAGTAACAAAAAAGGGTTTAGTTAGATAAATAAATAAGAGGATGTATAGAAAGTGGCTCTATTCTGTTCTATAAACTAAGCATTAGCTCTAATGTAGAAAGGGAAGTCCCTTCAACAAGGGGAAAAAACACTTTTTTTTTTTTTTTTTTTTTTCTGTTTCTCTCTCCCTTAAAAATCAATCAATTTCTTGATTCCTAATATTATTTTAGCTCAAGAAAAACTTAGGGTACTGAATTGTTATGTTTGACCTTGTGAGTTAATTGTCTTCTACAGTTTTGAAGAGCGCCTGGCTGCACAAAGGCGCGAGAGAGAAGAAGCAACTACTGAACTTGGATTCAAAAAACCATTAAGCAAGGAGGAAAAAATTAAGAAGAAGAAACAACGTCTGGCTGCTATTGGTAATGCACTTGGTGTAACTGAATACATATTTTAACTTTAGGCCATATAAATATATGCATACAAGTATTATTGTTGATTTATCTGCCATAGGTGAAGATAAAAAATGAGCCTTTGGGAAGAATATATAATATGCAGGCTATCTCTATTTGCAATTCAAATTTTATGGCTGTTGGCTCAAAAATGCTTGAGGATTATTAAATTGTATGTGGAAGCATACAAGTTGGTGAAAATGAAAAGTCATATGCAAAATTGCATATATACATTTTTATATTTTTAAATTTGGTGGGTTTGTCCTTATTGGTTATAATGATTTTGTTTTTGGAGTTTGGCTTCCACTTGCCTCAACTAAAAGAATTATGCTCTGCATCCAAACATCCAGTACTTAAAATTATTGAATATTATTCTCCATTAGTTTAATAACATTATGCAACCCATGGGCTAATTGCTTGTTTACTTTGAAAAAGGTATGTACTATGATACTCTCTGTCTTGCTTTAAACAGGTGAAGATTTATTATCTATTGCAGCAGACCAGCCATTTCGATTTCCTGCTACATTCACATTTGTTGTTAGAGCCTTCTCAGGTAAATGTAAAACTTTAATGCATAAACTTGGATTCCCATGCGTGTGCTTGTAAGGCAATAAGTCAATTTTGGTTCCATGCAGTATTGGATGGCATCGGAAAGGGGCTTGACCCACGTTTTGACATTACTGAGATTGCCAGACCGTAAATATTGTCTTAATAATTTTTAACTTTTTGAATTTTTTTCAATTGTTCATGTCAAATGTATGTTCAATGTATCTGACACAACTAGCCATCCGGCCCATGTAGTTATGCCCTGGAGTTGCTAAGGTTTCGTGAAGCTGGGGTTGAAGTTGTCCTAAAGGTAGTCAAACACGATCTACTGTGAGTTCAGTCAATATTATGATCTATTTCTCTCATTCAATCTTATGACGTACAGGACTTCAGGAAGAGATGGGATAGACAATCTCAAGCATTTTACAACTTGTTCAGACAGGCTGATAGGATTGATAAGCTTGCTGAAATTATCCAAAGACTGGTATATCCTTGATGTTCAGAAATGTAATTCTAGTTAGTATGATTCATAGCTTTTGTTTGTTTTGAACTTTTGTTATTCTAAATCACTGCTTATTACACTTTATTTTTCCACAGGAGCAAGGTGATCTGAAGCTTCGAGTTAGAACTTTGGAATCTGAGAGGGCATTCCAACGTGTTGCTGCAGTCCAGAAGACTATAGGAAATGTGAGTAACATGTGACTTATTTGAACTATAACGTTGACCTGTTTCATCCATTTGGTTAACGTTTGATCTACTGCTGTAAAACATTGTCATTCTTTGGGGGTTAGGATAGGACCTCAAATTTATTATCCACTGTAAGCAGCTCTACGCTCCGTTGGCTGCTGTATGATCACTCTGCAAAATTAAGTCTTATGGAAATGAGAATAGCTATTTTCATGTGGTGGTAGCCATACAGTACTATATTAAATAAACTTGTATATGCGCATGTAGATGGATGTAACTGTCATTTTTCAGTGCTTTATACTTTTATGCCTCTATTTCTAGTGTCCAACTGCCCATGGATCCAGTTATATTTCATATATTGTAAAGGTGTAACTGTATGATACTGACCTTATAACATACTTGATGATGGACGTAAATATTTCTATTCCTCCCATGGATTTTAAATGATTGATGGATGTGTTTGTTGACTCCAATTTCATTCTTTTATTCATGCACCTATTGAAAGCAACATGTTTTTTTTTTTTTTTTTCAAATCCCTGTTCGCAATAATTGATAATATTATTAGAGGAGACACTTGGAAAAGCTGTTGGGATGATATGGGGTCTGTTTGTTTCTTGGTTTCGAAAACTGTTTTTCCATTTTTTTTAAATAACGTTCTTAAGGAGTAGTTTTTGAAAATTGTTTTCAAAATTAACATCTTTTTCTAGTTTTTGAAATTTGAAACTAAAAAACCCGAGCATCTCCAAGTTGCTATGATTTTCAACTTTCAGTTTTCTATTATTCATATTCTTCATTTCACTCTTACATCTTCCTTCCCACTCCTACTATAAAAAATATTTTAAAACTGTTTGAAAAATGATTTTTAAAATTAAAAAAGAAAAAAATTTATCAAACGCATTCTTATATTCATGTTACCTTTTTGTCAATTAACAGGCAGTAGCTGCTGGGAGCCTGATCAATCTTGCAACAGTTTTGTATCTCAATTCAATTCGTGTAAGTTGCACCCATTGTACATCTCTTTTTACCTGGTGTGATATCATTGCTCAGCACTGGTTATCTTTTTCAGGTGCCTGCCTTTGTAGCATATATATTCTGTGCAATCTTTGGTTTTCAAGTGCTCTTGGGCATTATAAAGGTCAAGAAGCTAGATGAACGGGAACGATTGATAACAGGGACTGCATAAGCCTCTGCACGGTGAATCTAGCTGTATTTTCTCTTAAAAAAGTTCTCTACTTTGTATGTTCTACTTATGATGCCATGCAAGAATGTTTTTAAGTTGGTGGAATGATCAATTTCTTGTGTGCACTATTTCATTGTTTTGTAAAATAGAACAAAGAGAAGGATGTAACTAGTAATAAATAACACTTTTTACCCGTTCCTCTATATCTTTTCTTTTTCTTATTTCATTTTAGTGTGATGAAAACCTTTGACGGTATTGTTATCATTCAGTACAGGTTCTTTTTTCCACGCTGGAGGGGAAATGAAATGATATTTCATTTAAGTGGATGTTGGATATAACTAATGGACACTAACAAATGCAAATTCTAATGTATATCTCCTTTTTTGCCAAGGTTTAGGAAGGTTGTTCAATCCTTTATAGTATCAGTATCTGTCAAAATCTTCACTCGATGTGTGTTTTAGGAAAGTTTAGATTTTATCTTCGACTGTATTCTTATTCTCTATCACAACAGTTTATTTGTCGTTAATGCTAGGATTATGTATTTAGAATAAGTCACATAATCATAAGGATTTGTCTCCCTAGAATTTGTTGTGTATATTTCCCAAAATAGCCAACAGGCTCATGTACATATAGGTCCAATGACCTAATAATATGGTATGAGAAATAAAATATTCTTCTTTCTAAATTTGAGATAGTATCAGAGCTCCTCATCCTAGGAGCCTCTCACTGCAGTCTCAAACCCTAAATCACTGTCACCACTGTTACGCAGCCTTGACCGATCGTAGCCTTCATTGTTGCCTCTGTTATTCATCGCTGCCTTCCTCGCCTCACAGCCTTCAGTCTTCATCCATCGCTGATATTGTGAATTCCATCCCTGAAGCAGGGTACAAATTCCAGAGTGCTGGAGAATTGCAGAATATTCATTCTGCTTATCGGGTAACCAGGAAGAATTATCTTAAATGTTCTCAACTCATTAAGACCATATTGGAGGGAAAAGGAAAGGGCAATCACCTTACCGACAATGCCCCTGATGAAACGGATGCCAAGTTCAAATCATGGGACAAAGAAGACTCCATCATCATGGCATGGTTGTGGAATGCAATGGTACCAAAAATTAGTGATACATGTATGTTCCTTAAATCAGCAAAGGAAATTTGGGAAGCGGTAGAACAAACCTATTCCAAGGCCAAGGATGCTACACAAATATATGATGTAAAGGTGAAAACCTTGGGGTCCAAACAGGGAAATAAATCGGTCAAAATATGCCAATCAACTCAAGTCTCTATGGATGGAATTGGATCACTATCGCGTTATAAAAGCAAGGTGTTCAGAAGATTCAGCAATCCTTAAGGATTACAAGATAAGGTTTATGATTTTTTGGTAGGCTTGAATTCTGAATATGATCAGGTCCAAATCCAAATTCTGGGAAAAGAGAAAGCCCCATAACTTAATGAAGTGATAGCCATCATCCGAAGTGAAGAAAGTAGGCAAAATTTGATGCTGGAAACTCCAATTCTTGAAAGCACAACAATGATAGTTGAAGAAGGAACAACCATGGTTGCTAACCAGAAGAAAAATGGATTTCCCAATATGAAGAAAAAACATGAGGAAGTATGGTGTACCTACTGCAACAAGCCACGTCACACACGGGAGAAGTGTTGGAAATTACACGGAAAACCTCCAAGTCGAGAATGGGGGCAAAAACCTCCAAGCCAAGAATGGGGGCAGAAAGGAGGTCCTCAGAAAAAGGGAGGACAGGGTCAAGTACACACTGCTAACGGAAATAGTGAAGAGGTTGGTCTTCTAAATCATGAAGAGATAAAAAGGGTAAGGTCCTTTTTGAGTAAATTGGAAAAACTCACAGGTACGTGCTCTTTAACATATCTTGGTAAGTTTCTGTTTTCTTTTGGGTTTAATGTTTCAGATACATTATTTACCCACTCCTGGATATTAGATTCTAGAGCCACAAACCATGACACCCTTACCCAAATACTTTTCCACATATTCTCCATGTCCTAGCAACAACAAAATTTCCACAGCAGACGAAACCCTTATTACAGTAGCAGGACAAGGAGAGGTCCAAATAAACCCATCCATAACATTAAAAAATATCCTTCATGTCCCTAAGTTGTCCACCAACTTGATTTATATACAAAAACTTACAAAAGATCTCTCATGTAATCATGTAATGTTTTTTATAGCAATGCTTGTATATTACAGGACAAGAACTCGGCGAGGATGATTGGACATGCTAGAGAATGGAATGATCTGTATTACATAGAAGATCCAAATATGCCTACCAAAAGTCACTCTCTTATACCTGAATCCACCTTGACCAACAAAGAGAAAATTCAACTATACCATTGTCGAATGGGACATCCTTCGTCCCAAGTTGTGAAATCAATATTTCTTTCCTTGTTTAAGAACTTAGATGTGGGGGAGTATATATTGTGAGGTGTGTGAGTTTGTTAAACACAAACGTGTACGGTGTACCTTTTCCTGTTAGTAATAAAAGGAGTCATTTTCCTTTTTCTCTTGTTCATATTGACGTATGGGGCCCTGCCAATGCCCCTGATATCTTTGGTGCTAAATGGTTTTTAACCTTCATAGATGATTGTACCAGGGTGACTTGGATTTTCTTATTGAAAAAAAAAATCTGAAATTAGCTCTATTTTTATTAGGTTTGTCTCAATGATTAAAAACCAATTTGGAGTCATTATTAAGAGGATTATGTCTGATAATGCCAGAGATTACTTTAATTTTGTGCTCAACTCTTTTTGCCAAAAGGAAGGGGTTATCTATGAGTTTTCCTGTGTCAACACACTCCAACAGAATGAGAGTGCGGAAAGGAAAAAAGGGCACTTATTAAACTAAACTAGAGCCATGCTTTTTTAAAATCATGTCCCTAATAAATTTTGGGGGGAAACCCTCCTTCCTGCCACCTACCTAATCAATAGGTTATCTTCAAAAATCCTAGAATCAAAAAGTCCCATGCAAGTCTTATCCTCATTCTACCCACACTTGGACCCTACATATAAACTCCAACCTAAAATATTTGGGTGTGTATCCTTTGTACATGTTCATAGTAATGAAAGGGGAAATCTTGATCCTAGGGTTAAGTGTGTATTCTTAGGGTACTCGACTACACAAAAGGGATATAAATGCTTTTATCCTCTATCAAGAAGACTCTATGTGTCAAGGGATGCCACCTTTAATGAACAAGGGAGCTACTTCAAGGAATCTCATCTTCAGTAACAAGGGAGCTACTTCAAGGAATCTCATCTTCAGGGGGAGACTCTAATGTCTCCAAATATGACATTTGGACCTGAAATTGGGACAACTAACGCTATTGGATCTACTATACCTAAAACTAGAGCTGCTGGACCTATGGAACCTAAGATTGGGAGCACTACTGGACCTGAACCTGAAAGGAGACCAGATTCTAATAGTGGGAAATTTGGAAAAAAATTGGTATATTCAAAGAGAGAAAAGAAGACCATTCCAGGTTCTATCCATGTTCAAGAATCCGATCCACTACCACCACCACTACATGAGGTAACATCTTTTAATCCTATAAATAATTCTAATGAGTGTGTTGCTGAAATTCTAGAAGTACAGGAGGACCAAAACCTTGACCTTGATTTACCCATTGCAATTAGAAAGGGAGCCAGAACATGCACTCAACGATCAATTTACCCTCTATCAAATTTCCTATCCTTTAAAAAAGTCTCTCTTACCCATAAAACACTTCTCACAAACCTAAACACTACACCCATACCTTCCTCTGTATCTAAAGCATTGTCTGATAGGAAATGGAAACAAACCATGGATGTAGAAATGGAGCCGTTAAATAGGAACAATATCTGGGAATTTACCACTTTACCAACTGGAAAAAAACCAGTAAGATGTGAATGGTTATACATAGTAAAGTATAGAGCAAATGGGACCATTGAACCTTACAAGACAAGGTTAGTAGCTAAAGGATTCACTCAAACCTATGGAGTAGATTACTTGGAGATTTCCCCGGTTGCTAAGATGAACACGATTAGAGTAATATTGTCATTAGAAGCAAACCATGATTGGGACCTGTAACAATTTGATGTGAAGAATGCATTCCTACGTGGAGATCTTGAAAAAGAAGTATACATGGAGTTACCCCCTGGTTATGATGAACAGGTTGCTAGAGGAACTGTTTGCAAGCTAAAAAAGGGCTTTATATGGGCTAAAACAATCCTCGAGAGCATGGTTTGGATGATTCACCTGAGTTTATGACAAGTTTGGGCTATAAACAGAGTCAAGGTGATCACACTCTATTTATCAAGCATTCAGTTTCAAGGGTTGTAATAATATTACTAGTATATGTAGATGATATTATAGTAACTGGGAACGACAAAAGGGAGCAACAAGAGTTACGTCAATGCCTTGCCGCAAAATTTGAGATTAAGGCACTAGGGAGACTTAAATATTTTTTGGGAATTGAAGTGACCCATTCTAAGAAAGGAATCTTCATATCTCAACAAAAATACATTATTGACTTGCTCAAAGAAACAACTAAAACAGCTTGCAAATCAACAAGTATTCCAGTTGATCCAAATACAAAGTTAGGAAGTGTAGAGGAGGTAATTGTCGTGGATAAGGAAATGTATCAGAGACTTGTGGGCAAACTTATGTACTTATCCCACACTAGGCCAGACATTTAGCCTAGTCAATCAATTTATGCACCAACCAAAAGAAGTACATTTACAAGCTACTCTTAGAATTATTCAGTATCTAAAAGGGACACCGGGAAGAGGGATTCTATTCATATGAAACAAGAGTAAGTATTGAAGCATATATGAATGCAGATTATGCTGGGTCAGTTGTGGATTGGAGATCAATTACTAGATACTGTACCTTCCTTGGTGGAAACTTGGTGACTTGGAAGAGCAAAAAACATAATGTCGTGGCTAGATCAAGTGCTGAAGCAGAATTTGGGACAATGGCCCAAGGAATATGTGAACTGA